TGCCTGTGCACAGTGGCTCTGGAAGTTTGTACTCCAGACTCAGTCCACTGCTTCTACAGGTCCCCCAAGGTCTGGAATCGGTCCTTCTCCACAATCTTCCTCAGGGTCTGGTCATCTCTTCTCATTGTGCAGCGTTTTCTGCCACACTTTTTCCTTCCCACAGACTTCCCACTGAGGTGCCTTGATACAGCACTCTGGGAACAGCCTATTGGTTCAGAAATGTCTTTCTGTGTCTTACCCTCTTGCTTGAGGGTGTCAATGATGGCCTTCTGGACAGCAGTCAGGTCAGCAGTCTGACCCATGATTGTGGTTTTGAGTAATGAACCAGACTGGGAGTTTTTAAAAGCCTCTGGAATCTTTTGCAGATGTTTAAAGTTAATTTGTTGATTCAGATGATTAGGTTAATAAGTCGTTTAGAGAACCTTTTCATGATATGCTCATTTTTTTGAGATAGGGATTTTTGGTTTTTCTTCTCTTATTTGCCAAAATCATCAATATTAAAACAAGCACATCGCAGCCCTTCTGGTTGATGAAGATGATGATGGGAGGCTCGAAGCCGTGAGACAAAACCTCCAGCAGCTTCTTCCTGCGAAGATAAACGACAAACACCCGTCAGCTCACTGCCGTCTGCGGGACGTGTCACGTTTGTGTCCGTCTCACCTCTTCTCGCCCTCTGACATCAGCAGGACCTTCTGATCCACCCTCTCGTGAGGTTTTTCTGGCCGATCCGATGTAGACCACCGCGGGCTGCCGCAGGTAGCTCCTGGCCAGCCTCTCCACGACTGGAGGCATGGTGGCAGTGAACATGACGGTCTGAAAGGTTCAAACCCACAGGTGAGGAGACGTTCACCACAGAACGCCTTCTGGACCCGCAGAGGGACACACACACACACACACACACACACACACACTCACCTGTCTGTATTTGTGTTTCCCAGACTCAAAAGTTCAGCGTCATCTTCTCTGCGTCCTCGGCCTCGTCCGTGTCTGGTTTCTGATTGGTCACAGGGATGTACTCCAGGATCTTTTGGACGTCGGACTCGAAGCCTATGTCGATCATCCGATCCGCTTCGTCCAGGAACACGTAGGTGCAGCACCCGAGGCAAACACGATCTGTTAGACAACAAACAAACACACAAACAAATAACAGCTGATGAGGAACACAAGGAAAACACAACACTTTATATAACACCTTTATAGAGTTTCAATAATCATGATAAGTTTTAACAAGCGTTCATATCAGCTTCTTCAGACCTGGACCTATATCTTCAGCCTCAAAAATCCAGGATTTTCACAAAAAAATCCGTATTACTCACACTCGACCCAACGGGGGGTGGGGGGTGGGGGGGTGGACTGACTGTCGGCCAGGGGAAAGAGGATGCAGCGGAGGACAGGAGGACGGGGAGAGGTGGCAAACTTATTTCTAGAAGCACAGTGAGTAGTGAGATGGTTATTTAATTTTATTAATGAATTTATTTATTTATGTTTACTTCCTACAGCCTCTGAGTCATAAAATAAATTGAAGCTGAGTT